GCAGACAGGCTCTGAAAAGGTCGTTTTGTTCGCTGTGCTTGTGTGTGCTTGTGTGTGTGTGTGTGTGTGCTTGCAGACTGTCTGATGTAGAATCTTTTTTATCAAGTGTCATTGCATCCCCATCTGCTGAAGACACACTGTCTCCCTCAGCCTTTACACACACACACACACACACACTAGCAGTCTACATGAGAGTGGCATTAAGAAAAGAAGAAATGGTACAGTTTTACACTGAGCCTTGGAGTAATGAACCACTAGATACAAGTTTATGAATGGGAGAAAGAAGCCGAGGAGTACCTCAAGGTTCTGTACTGGGTCCTCTTCTATTCGTATTGTTAGTTAAGGCCTCTGCGGCGGTCTGTGGGACATCGGTTCACAAAAGAAGCATCTTCTTCTTCATGGATAAAACATGCAACATGTTCTTTTTGGAAATTCATTTCAAGGATTAGTTTGTAATTTTCTTGCCAGAATTAATTGAGAAGATCGACACCTCTTTCAATTTTGTACAGTAGATATAAGGCTGTAGACAGGAGCTTTAGCTTAACTTAGCATAACGACTGGAAACAGGGAAAGTCGCAAGACTGGCTCTGTTCAAAGGTTTTCCTCTGTTTCCAGTTTTTATGCTAAACTAAGCTAATTAGCAGTCTATATTTACTAGACAGATATGACGGTGGTATCGATCCTCTCAACTTCAAAGTTTCTCACCTAAAATGTCAAACTGTTTCTTCAACCAATACGTCCAAGAGAATCTGAAGGTGTTGTTGTATATTATATCCTGCGATGCGTCACAGAGTCTCTGGTAGAAATGGTCGTGTTGGACTGAGATACGAATGCCAGAAACTGGTGACTTAACCAGATAATTAAACCCAGCACTGCTGCAGGTTTTATGTGTGAAACTAAATGGGAGGGGGGGAGGGGGGGTACCAGACATACGGACTGTGAACTGTGTCTGAGCCATTTTAGACTTGATTGAAAGTGAAAAGAGCAGCAGTGTCACCGTCACATTCATCCCTGTGGCCTGAGCAACAATAGGCTTTAACTTAACAGACACAGACGGAGAGAGAGATGGGGGGGTGTGGGGTGTTTGTGCGTGGGGGGGGTTGGGGGTTAGGGTCCGAAGCCAAGAGGAAAAAGGGAAATCATCACTCCCAGCTGTGGGAAAAATTGAATGCTGAATATCATCTGCCATCAAAACTTCTGCACTCATCAGAAATGCTAGACTGGATTTCTGGAGACAAGTGCAGCGATGACTAATGACTGACAGGACATTTTTTTGACTGCTTGGGGGGAAGATAGATCTCAAATGTCCCCCCGATGCTTTTAAGAAATGCACTCCCCCTGATTTCTTGCCTGATCTTTTGCCCTCCGCTGTGATGATTTCGCTACTAGAAGATCAAATTTGGACTCCCTTACACTAAGCTGTGGTTACTGCAAATTGGCTCTACAGGTATATCCATTATAAAGACGGAGAGAAGGAATGGAAAGCCTTTTTTCTGACATTTATGATATTACCATGTGCTGCAAGACAAAAAAGATTGGTTGGACAGGCGGGACTCAGTGGGAGGGAGAGATTTCAACAATTTGGAGGACTCTTTATGTCTATCACTGGCAGATGCATCAGCCTCTCTTCCTCCCTCTGCAGTCTGTTCTCTCTCGGTGTCTTGGCTCACCCTTCCTGTCATAGTCAGATGCCCCTGTCCGGCTGAGTGGACAGTTTGTGCCGGTCAGTCGATCTCTTCTGGAGACGGATGGGCATGTTGGTTAGTTGACAGCGAGGTTGTTCGGGAGGCACGTGGAGGCATGTTCGCTGGCGTGAAGCCAGCTACGTCAGTTTGTCAGTGTGTCAGTCAACGGTTCAGATTGTCGTTGGGTCAGTTGGTATGTGGATATGTTGGTACTACATTGCAAACAATCAACTTAAGAAAACAAGTCGTACTACTGAGTTTAAAAGCTCGATTGTTCAGCGAAAAACTTGAATCTGGCTCAACTTTTGCTGCAATGCAATGTGTTAGCGTCTACCTAAACAAACACATACTAAACAGGACAGTTTGTAACATGGAGGACATAATTCTGTTTCTGTTTATCTTTGATACAAAGGATGAAACGACTGTTGTGAAAATAACTTGTGGTATTTGGTGCTGGCGCCATTACCAGCCTCATTAAGTAGATTATTGGCAATGACCTGATCCAGTCGTCTCCGGCCTGATGTTATCTTACATAAAAATAACTGCAATGAGCTTCACACAGCGAGGTGTACACATTTTAAATTAGGGGAAAGGAGTTGAGGTATTTGTATTTATATTCATAGAAAATTAGGATCTGTGTTTACCACCAAATCACAAATATCTCCTCTTACCTGTGCATGTAGCAGCACACCTACACGGTTTAGTTGTTGTATCTGTAGGTCAGTGTTTTTGGAGTTGCATGTCAGCAGCCTGGGAGGGAGGGAGGTTGAGATGTCGAGCTGAGAAGTGGGCGGCTGGTATTGCTGGTCGGATGTGGCGAGTTGACAAATCTGGTTCACAACATTCTCTGGTCAGTTCGTGCGCCATCATGTGTTCGTTCATCCGCCTGCGTCAACCCCGGATGTGGTCGATTTTTCATCTTCTTTTTTCTTAAATTGTTCATGTCTGTGAATGTGTGTTTGCGTTGTTGTCTGTTGGTTCGTCAGAACTTTAGATGTGTAGCCTACTTTTTTTTTTTTTCAGATCATGCTCAAAATAGCCACATCATAGCTTTCCAGTAAGCTTGCTCATTCCTCCCTTTATGTCTCCCTCTCTCTCTCTCTCTCTCTCTCTGTCTTTCTAGATGTGAAATCAGCAGTGGGGTTGCTATGGTTTGGCGAGATACAGTAATCCAATGTGTACACACACACACACACACACACACACACACACACACACACCTCATAAATAATTGACCTGTCACTGTGAGACGACAGGACAGACCAGATACACTCTCCCCTCCTCTATTCTCTGTTCTCCTCCTCACATTTCTCCTCATATCTCGTCCTCTTTATCCCGTTTCCTCCCTCGCCGTTCTTTCACTCACTCAGCTTTTTGTTCCACCTTTGCTTTTTTCTTGTCCTCTGCTCGTCTTTTTTTTGTCACATTATTATTTCTTTCAGTACCTGGGCCGCTCAGGCTCCCTGCAGTTGATGTTGGACTGAAACAGCTTCATTTGTTCTTTATGTTTTAATCAGTCCACTAAACGTAGATCTGTATTCAGAATTGACTCCTTGTCCTTTGGGCGTATGCATATTTACCTTTTTTGAAGTAAAGGGCAGTAGATGTTGATATTAGTACGAACACATGATTAAGTATTATTCTACCAAGTGGAAGCATGTAGTTACGAAATAGAAGAGGATTTAGGATAGAGCCTTGAGGTACTCCAGTTTTTTCCTTCCCTTCATTAAACTTGTATCTCGATTCAAAGTTTGATGCCTTTCTGGTGTCACATGTAATTTTTGATAAGCTTTTAAAAATAAACTTCACAATAAACTTAACCACCGCACACTGAGATGATTTCACTGTTCACACATTCGCATTTATCGCACCTGTGAACGCTCTCGTAATTTTACTGAGTGAACCTGAAGAAGCCGCAGGTGAAGCGCGTTGTTCGCTCTCAATAAAAGTTGCAGTGAAGTCATCTCAGTGTGCGGTGGTTAAATTATATATTCACTTGTGACCAACCAGCACCTGACTGCTTATATTGGCTTTGCATGGGAAATATTGTTCACCACCAGGCGTTAAATAGCTCGATATTTTCTGAGGGAGATCCATTGGAAGGAATGTCCTTAGACAAAAAAATATATTTTTCGTACAAGATCTATTCCACGAGTCTCTGAGAAGATTTCAACCAGTTCCCTCAGTAGGTCATCTAGATTAGTCTGGATTCAACCATCATGTTAATTTGAGTCTTTCTAAAGTGCTAGGACCCTGCATCACAAAACAATAACGCTCACCTGGTAGAGCGGGCTTAGTCCTGACCTCAGCAGCCATGGTTCAAGTCCGACCAGTGTCCCTTTGCTGCATGTCATCCCCTCTCTCTCTCCCTGACTTCCCTGTCTGTCTCTCTCTGTTTCTATCAGAAAAAAGGCAATGCCCCCCGCCTCCAAAATAAAAAAAAGAAAAGAAAAACTACCGACTACAGCTGTTCTGCTGATGGCCGACATGCACATGCATGAGAGGGAGGGAGTAATGACTCAGTAGTCAGTGTTCAGAATCCATCCAGCCAAACATCTGCTGGTAAGGGCCATGTAGAGCCAACGATGCCTGATGCACTGTAAAAAGTACAAAGAGTGGTCGGCCGCAGACGCTCAGCAACAGCCCGACAGTTGCCAACAGGAAATAGACCGCTTGGTGTATGAGGGCTGTAAAGATTAACTACGCAAAGCGGAGTTAAAGCAAATCTATTTAATCAATCAACTGGCCTTACTATCTTGGACGGGGAGGGTGGATGGATGGATGGATGGTGTGTGTGTGGGCAGGAAATGAAAACACCTAGCAACCTCCTTTTTTTCCACTGCAAACACACAAATGCACAGAGACATAAGGAGAGAGGTGGAGAGAGTGTCAGATGGCTCGGTGCCCTGCTGGAGACGTCTCATCAGAATGTGTGTTTTGTACTGAAGGTTCACTCTGTTTGTTTGTAGAGGCTCAGATTACCACAGATGCTCCTTCTCTCCTTCCCCTTATGCTTCTGTTTCTGCGCGGCAGTCGACTCGACGTCCAGGTAGAAGCTGAAACAAAAGGAGCTGGAAATGTTTGGTTTTTTTTTTTTTGGTGAAATTGATTTTGTACTGTCGCCATTAAAGTCTTTGTCCTGGTTTTATTAGTGACTGCTGGAAAAAAAACAACTTCTCATTTTCATTGAAATGTGAGTCCAGATGGTGAAATGCGCGTTTTAACAATGGCCCCTTTATGCTGTTTTTAATTGAGTGATGAAGCCAACGAAAGCTCACTTCCCTTCCCCCCTTGTCTTCCTTGTGTTTTCCTCAGGGTTTCACCTCAGCGGCACAGTAACTGAACCCACCACGTCGTCAGAGCCGGAGGTCACGCACAAGGTGGCCATCAGCTTCGACCGCTGCAAGATAACCTCAGTCACCTGTGGCTGCGGGAACCGGGACATTTTCTACTGCGCGCACGTGGTGGCGCTCTCTCTTTACCGGATTCGCAAGCCTGAACAGGTAATAACCACAACGATCCCTTTACCTAAACTCAGTCTCTCCAGAACACACACCACACATATACTGTATATTTATCTTATTCTCAGCAACGTACTCTTTCTGGTGACGGTTGTTTCCCCAAAGATAAGTTTAAAGTTATGTAACTAAGGCGCTGCTGGAAACCGCTAATAGCTAATCCAACTGGGTTTTTCAAAATGTAATAGTTTTATAATGCAGTATTATCTGACTTTATCATTTTCCAATATCTTTAAGTGTGATGGGAAATGTAGCAGCGAAACTCAAACATGTACACGCCAAATGAACAGGTTCCTCTCCCCTTTCAGATCTTCATTTTTCTAAATCAGTAGATTAATCTCTGCTGTCCTCTGCTGATCGCTGGGTGTTCGATTCAGCTCAGCTGGAGTTGTTACTTGCACCTCTAACTTTCTCTGTGTTTGCTGCTCTGTTAGCTCAGCCTAGCTCATCATATTAGCCTCTTGTTTCCTACAGCTAACGTTACCTCGTTTAGACAGTTACGATGGCTTGAATTTAGTACTTAAGCACATAGGTCATAAGTCATAGAAAGTCCTATTGACATGGTTCTTATGACTCTGCTACCCTCCTCTAACCCTTCATATACAGACATATGTGGTGTTGAAAACATTTGAACAGGGCAAGCAAAAGATCCTAAGAGTTTCATACTTTTATTATTGAAATCACCTTCTATCGCACCACTCTCATGCTGAATGATGTCGTTCTGAAGCCTAAGTTTTGCTGATAATCACAATTTCTAGCATGCCTAGCTTAGAGAAGCAGTGACTGTGCAAGGAGTGTGTAAATAAAGGAAGCGCCACCTGAACAAACAGCTTTTTAAGGGTTTAAAGTGTTTATAAAGTTTGGGTTTGATCTGAGAGTTCCTCATTAAGGAGATAATTTACAGATGTAATGAAAGCTGACATGTCACACACCAACATTTTTAAATATATATATATATATATATGTGTGTGTGCACGTGTGTGTTTCTGTTGCAGGTGAAGCTGCGGCTGCCCATCTCAGAGACGCTGTTCCAGATGAACAGGGACCAGCTGCAGAAGCTGGTGCAGTACCTGATAACAGCCCACCACACCGAGGTGCTGCCCACCGCTCAGAAACTGGCCGACGAGATCCTCTCCTCCAACTCTGAGATCAACCAGGTCCATGGTGAGAACGCAGCTTACGCGCCGACACGTTCAGTCCGTCTCTTTCATTTTTGTTTCAGGTGAAGAAGCGTTATCCGCCAAATCCACCTAGATCTGATTTTATAAATGTAATCAGTGCGTGGAAGTCAAGAGGAAAGTACAAAGCTTTTCCTAGTTCTTGAAAAGTCGTCTCTTTGTGGAGATGCTGTCCATCCGTCTGCAGCGATATCTTCACAGCAGCAGGCCAGACATGAAAGCTTCCGGACTTGAAACGTGCGGCATGTTAGCCTACAGGCTGTCCTACGTCAGAGCCCCTGATTACTCCGGCGAAGCAGCAAGCCGCTCTTCAAATGGCTCGTTTGATTTTTTTCTCAGTTCCCACTCTCCAGTCACCGCCTCCTTCCAGTGGCAGGGGCTGTGTCGGAGGAAAGCGGAGTAAAAGAAGTTGAAATGATGAAATGGGTGCAGCAGAAGGTAGAGAGAGATGAGTGGAAGGGAAGTGGACACTGAGAGGAAGAGACGGGAGAAACGGCACTCGGGGAAAATGGAGGGGGGGTGGGGGGGGGTGGAAAGATGAAAGCGCCAGAGAAAGCACCGAGATGAAAAAGAAGAGGAGAACCACAACAGACGAGGCATCGGGGGAAAACGACAAAACGGGCACACATCCTTTCACCAAACAAAACTCTTTATCTGTCTCTCTATTTCATCCTCCTCGCTAAATGTTGACATTCTCCAGCTCGGCCGTCCAGGAAGCCCCGCGCCGTGTTTCCTCTCTGTGTTTGACAAGGGGGATCATGGGGGTTGAAGTTCAGTCGATCCAGGAGCGAGGCTCGTCTTTGATGGAGGAATGCGGCTGTTTGCTGCAGCGTACTCCCAGCCAGTTGGAAACACATCTCTGGGCTTTCCTCAGCTCACTTCCTGCTAGATCAAAGCAGCTTCCCCCTGTGGAGCGTATCTACATTTCCCTGTAGTATTACTCCGACACACACACACACACACACACACACACACTCAGTGCAGGAGGGGAGAAAAATAAAGCTGGCCTTATATTCCCTGTTTATGATTAGCCTAAAAAGAGCAGCTCACGTCGGTGCACTTAAAGTTTAATGTAAAAACAAATAGGTGTGAGAGCGGCGAGCGTCAGCAGAGACTGATTTATGGTTTTGTTTTCAGGACGGTCCCTCAGCTTTGAAAGGATCAAATCTTGGATGTAATGTCAGTATCTTGTTTTTGTGAGTGAGGGTTGTCTAAAATAAAATCCCCGTTTCCCGCGGTTGCCCTCCGTTTGCTTTCTTTCCTGGGGTGTGAACTGAGGACAGGAAGGGACGTGGGTGTGTTTACAGCAGCTTTGATGATGCGAGAAGGTCGTTAATGTTCGACTGAAACCGTGCTCCTGCGCTCAAGTTTTTTTCATGCATTGCTCTTTGTATAAGTTTCTATCAGTGTAGTATTGTGTCATTAAGTGTGTGTGTGTGTGTGTGTGTGTGTGTGTCCGTCCTCAGGCGCCCCAGACCCAACTGCAGGTGCCAGCATCGATGACGACAACTGCTGGCATCTGGACGAGGATCAAGTCAGGGAGCAAGTCAAACAGTTTCTATCGCAGGGAGGTTACTACGGCTCCGGGAAGCAGCTCAACTCCATGTTCGCTAAGGTACACATCACTGCCCCCCCCCACCCCCCACCTCTGCTTTCATCTTAAGATTTATCCATTGGATTCATTCGTCTAAATTGTTATTATTAAATCCGCAAATTAACGTTTTGCTCGCCAGCGGCCTCTGAACTCACCCGTGACCCTTTTTGCAACGACCCTAAAATGCACCATTTGTGTCTATGATAAGTCTTAAACATGTATATTCCTGTACCGTACTACTAATGTATATTCCTAACAATGGTTCCAATGAGTTGACAAATGGTTCAGAAGAATCCACTGGGAATTATCACACAACTCTGCATTTCCCCACAACTCCATGTTGCCTTTTAGCGTCTTTTCAGCTCCTTGTTTCTTTTAGTTTTAAGAACCAAAACAGCAGCCTGACGCAGTTAGTCTGCTGCGCCTGTAACAAGGCAGCTCTGTTCACCATGTCAACAGGTTTAAAGCTGCTGGATGTGAACATAGACCGACTTTAAAAGGTTTACTCCGGTGATTTAGCTTTGCGTTCTTGTCTCCGTGGGAAAATGGCACAAATGAAAAATGAGCACTGAGAACATCTGGAGGTTTCTTTTAACTGTATTATTCAGACTCAACAGGTCATGAATGTGGTTAAATGTAACTTCATAGTCAGTGTAAGGTTCTTATAAACGCGCTCTTAAAGCTCTTAGTGTGAAGGAAACAAGCCACTTAACCACGACCCATGTTCTGACGAGTCCTAGCTCACAGTTTCGGTGCCAAACCCTTTTCTTCCATGTAGTTTTATGTGGCATTCAGATGGTTTTATAACATTATAGAGTCGATGTTTGAACCGTAGATTACTGGATGACATCACGCGCTATCGTTTCCTTTTCAAATTCGAGTCGGGACACGCCCAACCTGAGCTTCCCGCCTCGCCTCGGACTTTTATTGGCTTCCTTGTTGAGATGATTTGGCTGAGCGACTAAACCTGCTCGCTCCGGGTCTTTCCAGGTGCGGGAGATGCTCCGAATGCGAGACTCCAACGGCGCCCGAATGCTGACGCTCATAACGGAACAGTTCATGGCGGACCCTCGTCTGTCGCTATGGAGACAGCAGGGCACGGGCATGACGGACAAGTGTCGGCAGCTCTGGGATGAGCTCGGTAAGAACAGTCAGAGAAACGCACGACCAACAGGACTTGATTTGTTTGTGATTTTTTTTCTTCATGTTGGCCAATCAGCTGTCAAACACAAGTGTCCAGTCTGTCAGTTACTGAGACTAATGTCTAGTCACCTTGTCAGGTAAACGCTTATCCAATCAGTAAGCCATTAGGTCATCCAGTCAGTAGCTTCTCCTCTCCCCTCCCCTCCTCCCCTCCTCTCCTCTCGCTGCCCTGAGTGAATGATAAAGGCTGCCGATCAATACGGCTGCTCAGCTTCTCTGCAATCAATCTCAGCATTTAGGAGGTCAATAAGAACACTTCCTGGGTGAGCGAGGGAGATCATGACACAGACGCAGACAGAAATAACAGCCAGACAGTCGGGGGTTTGTTACCTGATCATTTTTCTCAGACGCAGACGTCGTCTGACAGTCGACCCGAACAGGTGAGTTCAGAGCAGCGAGGCGGCGGCGGCGGAGGAGGAGGAGGAGGAGGAGGAGGAGGGGGAGGAGGACGCCGAGCCGCCAGCTGCAAATGGAACAACTCCCCCTTCTGTAACTGGCCAAGTCAAACTTTTGTGAAGCTCATGTTTAATTTTTGAAATTCAAAAATAAATGTCTGTTTCGCAGCGGCAGTGTTGTGAGTGCAGCTTTAGTAAAAAGAAAAGACTAAATGCACAAATCTTTCTCAGATTATTTCTTCTTTTTCTGCTTTATAAACGCCAGTAGATTGTTTTAGTGCCGTAACTAGGAATTATTTTCATTTTCAATCAATCTGTTTCTTGTTTTCTTGAATATTCAATTGATCATTAAGGCCATAAAACATGTGTTGTCTTCGGTTCACTTGTTTTATCCAACCAACAGTTCAGAACCCTCGACCTCCTCAAATTACTGGAACATTTAAACATGTTTTTTATTTTTTAAGTTAATTTTCTGACATAATTTCATAAGTCTTTAGTATTTATATTCAGGGTTCATATTTAGTTTTTATTCATTTGTAAGGAGTCGGTCTGAAGCTGTAATTCCATGTGAAAAAACCAAGAAGACTTTTATTGTCTTAGAATAAAGATAGAAATCCATCAACATATGACCGACAGTGGGAGGTTTCTCTTGATGGAAGAAGACGTGTTGGAGTGTCGGGGCGCCCGCTCGCTGTTTCCAAGGCTCGAGAAAAAAGAAAAGAAAGCACATATCGCTCTATAATCGCTCTAAATCCTCTGTATCCTCACCTCTGACTGCCGTCATCCCCCCCAGGTGCATTGTGGGTGTGCGTGGTGCTTAACCCCCACTGTAAAAGTGAGGAAAAGAGCGGCTGGCTGAAGCAGCTGAAGAAGTGGGGCGACATGGACGTCTGCCCGCTGGAGGACGGCAACTACGGCAGCGAGCTTCCGAACATCACCAACGCTCTGCCGCAGAGCAACCTCGCACAGGGTCAGCACCAAAACACACACACACACACACACGTATATATACATACGATATATAAATACACATCAGAATTCATGTGCAGAGATGGGACAACATGACACTGCGTTTCGTCCCTCTCAGACTCTCTGTCCCGGCCGAGGAGGACGGTGTTCAGCCGGGCCGTCGAGGCCTGTGACCTCCACTGGCAGGACAGCCACCTGCAGAGGATCATCAGCAGCGACTACTACATGTCTCCGTCCTACCAGAGAGAGGGGGAGAGCCTGCTGTTCAACCCGCAGGGTCTGCCACTCTGGCTGGGTAAAATCCTACTTCATTACCCGGAGAAATAATCATATTTACCTACTGCATCATTTGCGCTCTGCGATGTGATTTATTATTTATTTTGTCAAAAAAATATATTTATTCAAGCTGCAAACATACACTGAACAACAGACACACACACACACACACACACACACGCTTCCTGTGCAGCCTGTCACTATAGAAAAAACTTCATTTTCAGAAGGAATGACATCGTTTCTGTGGCACTTCCATATACACACAATCTCTAATTCCACTGAAAGCTGACCCAACACACACACACACACACACACACACACACACACACACACACACAGAGTAATTCTGCTGATATTGAGGCCAGTATCTGCAGTAAGCAGCTTCCAGCTAAGATCTGTCAGATTCTGCAACTTAAGCCAGCTATCAGACACACACTGGCGTTATGCTGAGACTGCACTCTGTGTGTGTGTGTGTGTGTGTGTGTGTGTGTGTGTGTGTGTGTGTGTGCCTTTAGTAACTACATTCAGTGTCCTGCAGTGTGTGTTTTTGTGTCTATTACTGAGGGAGTGCGTGAAAAAGTTTGGAGGAAAAATACACATCTGTAACTGGCTGTAGTGAAGTGTGTGTGTGTGTGTGTGTGTGTGTGTGTGTGTTGTGTGTGTTGTGTGTATCTGTCCTGACCCTACCTTTTCTCCCCTGTTGACCACACAGACCACGTCCCGACAGCGTGCGCCCGCGTCGACGCCCTGCGTTCCCACGGTTACTCCAGGGAGGCCCTGCGATTGGCGGTTGCCATCATCAACACGCTCCGCCTCCAACAGCAGAGACAGATGGACATCTACAAACACCAAAAGAAAGGTAACACATACACACACACACACACACACACACACACACACACACACAGTGCTGTGTCTGTTTTACCGGAGCGGTGTAAAACCTTGGCCTCTCGCCTCTCCTCCTTGTTCAGAGCTTCTCCAGAGGGGTGTGACCTCCACCACCAACCTGGAAGGCTGGGTGGGTCACCCCTTGGACCCGATTGGCTGCCTGTTCACCACGCTCACCGAAACCTGCCGCATGGACGACGACAACAGCATGGACACCGGAGGTACGAAACAAAGACGCACCTCTGTTCCTCCGCACAATGAGACTCAGTTTAAAAACGAGGCTGTGATGAAGCTTCACATTATTACCAGCAAAAAGACAAAAAGACCGACGTGCTTCATCGTCTGCCTTCACAAACATTACACTTTGTTTTCACCTTCCACGACCTGAGTGTGTTTAGCATGTCGGCTCTTCTGCAGAGTGAATATTTAACATTTAGATCTTGTTTCTGACATTTACTTTGTGCTACGACTGAACACTTGGCTAATCCTCGGGACCACGACACGATGACAGAGGCCGGACTTTGTTCCCTCATCGGTCACTTATTCACGTATTCACTCTGTCTTGTGCTTAGAGAAGCCGTCCGGTCGATCCATATTCCTTTGTTTTTAAATTGACACCTGACACCGCTGTCACCAGTTCGGCTCCACCCACAAAATACGTCATCGCTGTTTACAAACACTGTGGAAATAACTTTAGCTCATTATTAGCATCATTAGCTTATCAGTGTTTGCACTGTTTGAAGGTGTCACCTTGAGCTCCTTATCGGACACTGAAAAATGTATCGATAACGAAAATGATTGTATGTTAACCTCAGAATCATTCGTCCTCTGCGTGTCCACTGTTCAGCGTCTGAGCTACACTTCTGTCCACTAAACCTATAAAGTAAGCAAAACACAAACTCGACCGTGACACTCCTCACGCGACAGTATGTTCATCGTGGAGCTCATTTCACAAACAGGAGGTGTAACTCCTGGCACAGTTGACCAGCCGGCCGACGCAGAGGTGATGGGGTTCACCAGCAGTGACTCATCAGACAACACACTCCGTGTTCTTATACGAGGACCAGGCGCTATTGTGCTGCAGGCGGCCATAAACTAGCAGAGCATGAATGGATCGAGCTGCAACACCCTGCTCATTTAGACCAGGCTCTTTTTAGTGTGTGTGTGTGTGTGTGTGTCTGTGTGTGTGTCTGTGTGTGTGTCTGTGTGTGTGTCTGTGTGTGTGGTATGTATAGAATCCATCACCATTTGCATTTCTCACCCTGCCCAGGGCCTTTTTTTTTGCACCAGTGGTCATTGCAACAAAGCAGAATAGGGGTTGGGTTTTCCCATTGTCACCAGGCTACAGGGAACTATTGTCAGTTCAAACAATGCAATGACCACTGGCACACTCAGTGGTGTGTGTGTGTGTGTGTGTGTGTGTGTGTGTGTGTGTGTGTGTGTGTGTGTGTGTGTGTGTGTGTGTATTTGTGTGTATTTGTGTGTATTTGTGTGTTGGTGAAAGAGTGAGTGATTGTCTTTTGTTGTTTTGGGAATTTGAGGAGAGTGGTATGATTATTTTGTGTGTGTGTGTGTGTGTGTGTGTGTGTGTGTGTGTGTGTGTGTGTGTGTGTGTGTGTGTGTGAATAGCCTTGGTCACCATGCTTTATTTCCCAATGGAAGACAGCTGGGAACATCTGTCAAAGAATGGGGAGGGACCCAGACTGATGTGTCAGCCAATCAGAATGCTCATTCATCACTGATCTTTTCAAATCAACCAATCAATCAACAGCCGATGTATAAAAGAAAAAAGAAAAACAAATGAGGTGTTAGTGATTTGGGGTTAAGCTTCTGATTAAAACCAGTTTCCACTTCACCCTAGATTTACGCACACACACACACACACACGCAACATCACAACACATCCTGGAATAAACAGGATTGAGGGGATCTGTTGCTCGGAGGGGATTAAGCCAGAGTGATGGTGGGGGGGGGGGGGGGACACAAATGGGCACCAATCAACAGCTGAGACTCTCGTGGCATCTGTTCTCAGTTATAGTTGTCAGGCCTCGGTGTGGGCTGAGCGGCCATCTTAATACTTTGTGAGCACAGTCTGCCGTGAAGCCCACATTTCTTTTATGTTGCACGCAGCTTTAATCGCTCCCCGGTCGCACAGACGTTTGTATTTCCTGGATGATTTTAGTTCGATTTAAGACAAGCGAGCACCGTCCTCCATTAAATGAGGAGTATGTCTTACTGCAGTACTCTGTAAAAGAGTAACTGGTTGATGTAATCGCTCCTTCCATCTCTTCTACTACACTGTAAGAAACAGGACAAAATGCCCACTGTCCCTGTTCCATGTGAAAACGTGATGAGGACCGTAGATTCTCTTTTCCCGTTTGTTTTACAGTGAAGCTCAGTGTTGCCAGGTTGGATAATTTTCCACCCAACTGGTTCTACTTCTTATTTAATTTATTTATGGCAGCTTGAGAATTTGAGCCACCCTCTGGGTAATTCCCTGCGACTAAAAAGTTCGGCAATGAATCCCTCCCCTCGTCCTCTGAGAGCAGTGAGATGGAGATTAACAGAGCGCCGAGTTCAGTAGCTCCACAACACAATGACTGAAAACTGATCACTGACAAACGCAAAATGTCATTTCAGTTCAATTAACACGAGACTGGAAGATTTGTTGTTTTTTTTTCCTGTTCAGATTATTATTATTTTTTTGCTTCACCTAACGTTTGCTAGGAACAAAGACCTGGAAGCTGCGAGGACAGAGCTTCATATTTTTCATCTTGTACTCATGTAATGTGACAGGAAGTCTCTGAGGCTTGTTCCCAACAAAAGTTTTATGGAGAAAAAAAAAAAAACACTCTAACTATTTCTCTTCCTTTACTTCAGAAGGAGAACCCAGACCTCCAGTCTACCACCATGTGCCTGTGTGGGGAAGCCCTGACGGTGGGGAGTCATACCTGACTCTGTCCTTAGAGGTGGCTCTGATGGGCATGGGGCAGCAGAGGATAATGCCCGAGGGCCTGTACGCTCAGGATAAGGTATGCTACTTCTGAAATACACAGTCGCATGATGATTTGTAGTAATAATATATACATCTGAACAGAATCTTGAGTTCTAGTTGGCTGTCTGATTTTTATTTCCCTGAAAGAGAAGTGCATTTATGGCTTGTTGCATATTAAAAATTTGTGTGTTGTAGACAACACCGTCATGATAGAAAATCACTATGATTAAACGTCTGTGTGAAGCACTCTCCCTGCAAACAGAGAGAAAAGGTCACATCAGTTTTTCCCCCCCTGAAAAACACGCAGAAAGTCACAGTACTTAAGTTCACTGTGAATTAGAATCAATCCAAGGAACATTTCTTTGTGCGAGTGGTAATCTGCTTTAAAGTGCTTAACACGGCTGCCACAGACCTTTGTTAATGTCACGGGAATCAGCAAAAACATTAATGTTTTAGACAAGAATTGCATATAAAAACCACTGAATCTGTGAAAGCAGCTCTCTCAGGATCTGTGGCTGAAATAAAAACAGTCTCTGTCATGTGGTGGAAAAGCAGATAGATTCAAGAGTGTGAGGAATTAAAGTACGCTGCTGGTCTGATAATACCTCAAACTCAAAATCCCTTCTTAAAGGGTATTTACACTTCAAAGTGTTTTTTTTTTTTTTGGTGAAGTCAGTTTAGTTTTTACTCCATTTAAACAGGTTTAATTAAAGGATCTCCACTTATTGTGTGTTATTCTTGAATAGATTTAACAGTTTAGCTCCTTTAGCTCCAGATTTTCCTCTCGCTTCTCGTCGATATCAAACTGAACATTTATCACAGTCAATCAAATGTGTGTTGTGAATTTGTTGCAGGTTTGTCGCAACGAGGAGCAGATTGTTGCAAAACTTCAAGAGCTGGAGCTGGACGATCTCCTGGTTCAAACTCTTCGGAAACAGGCCATACAGCTACTAGATGGTACGACGACAACAACAACAACAACAACAACAACAACACTTTGTGTCAAAGCTCGTACGATACAGTGTGCACGTGTAAAACATTATCTTGTGTTTCTCTTGGCGCAGCTGGTCCGTTTAGCGGTCTGGGTGAAGTCATCCACAGGGAGAGCGTTCCCATGCACACCTTCGCCAAGTACCTCTTCTCTGCCCTGCTGCCGCACGACGCAGACCTGGCGTATAAGGTGGCTCTCCGTGCAATGAGGTCAGGTTCTGATCAAAAGTGCTGCGTGTCCCTTGCAAATGATTTGTGATACCTTTTATGGTCAGAACAAACAGCGGCCTTTATGTCATGATGTGTATTGTTTCTTTATTTCCTGTAAACAAAGACAAAAAGCCACAATGCTCAGTTTTTATGGTTAAAGTTTATGGTAGTTCTGGAGGCTGCAGTTTTTGCGATGCTGTTGAATTTCACTCTTATTCAAACAGATGTTTTTAATTTTTTATCCACCCTCAATTATGTGTATGAACTGTCATTAATTGTAGGGTCGTAGTATTAGACTGCATTTATTAAATCTGGGTGTACCCTAAAATATAGATCTTCGCACCTGACCACAGCCACTAAAGCTGTTTCTAATTTTATCTTTAGAATTAATTACCTTTCACCTATTTCAATTGTGAAATTCGTCTTATATTTTACACAAACTGACATTTAAAAAAAAAAACGTAATACCCGATAAACTAATATATATAATATATACTAAAGACATATTAAAAATGGATGTTTCTTTTCTTTTCAGGCTCCCGGTGCTGGAGTCGTCGGCGGGCTCCGGGGACGTGGGCCACCCTCACCACGGTATCTCCATAGTCCCAAGTAGATACCCGCGCTGGTTCACACTGGGACACCTGGAGTCACAGCAGTGCGAGCTGGCCTCCACCATGCTAACTGCTGCTAAAGGTACCATCGACACGTCCACGACGTCCCCGAAATGTTCAACCTGTCACTCGTATTTATCAAGATCTAATGTTACGTTTTCATTTGTCTGAAGGCGACATGTTGAGGTTGCGGACGGTGCTGGAGGCCATTCAGAAAAACATCCACTCCTCTTCCTTAATCTTCAAACTGGCCCAGGATGCCTTTAAAATAGCCACACCCGCTGACAACCCGCCTGATATAACCCTGCTCAACGTGGCACTGGAGCTAGGACTGCAGGTACTAAGTGTGTGTGTGTGTGTGTGTGTGTGTGTGTGTGAGAGCGAGCAAGAGAGAGCAAGTAAGGCAAGTCAATAATTTTCATAAATCATTTCACCTCAAAAAAAAAAAAAGTCAGTGCTGGTCACTCGTCAAAACATTCAACAGTTTCTTTGAACTTGTCATTTCTGCAGTCGTCCGCAGCCTCGCTACAAATTAACAGAGAAAACATCACACAGCGTCTTAACCGTTTGTTGATGAGAAGAAACCACATAATTGAGCCTTTTGGGTTCCACAGTAAACACAGAAACTCTTCACATCGCCATGGCAGCGGTGTCGCTGCGGCTTCGCCCGCCTCTTCCTCCTGGTATTTAGAGTTTGGGCAGAATTCCTGTCCGCAAAGCTGCTGATAAAGTGCTCAAAATGGAAGAGTCGCAGTTAGTCATGTGTGTAATTATGAACATACTTTGGATGCATCTGTCATCTCTGGAGAGTGTGGTGTTGTCCTGACTTCTAAATGTTGAAAAACACGCAGCATGCTCACTTGTCACCGCTGCATGTTTGTATATTTTAGATTTTTTATTTTCTCAGAATTAAAAAAAAAAAAAAGGCTTTTTAAGCTTGTAGATATTTGCAAAGTTTCCAAAGAAAATATTGAAATGTCATAAGGGTAATTAGTTATTCTTCTTCTAATTAAACAAAGTAGGAAAATCAGAAAACATCATTGTGTTTCTCCGTTTTACAGGTGATGAGGATGACTCTGTCCACGCTGAACTGGAGAAGGAGGGAGATGGTTCGCTGGCTGGTAACCTGCGCCACTGAAGTCGGTATGTGATGCCTTTTAACACACACACACACACACACACACACACACACACACACACACACACACACACACACACACACACACACACACACCAGCAGACCCTTCCAGTAGTTCTACCCTCCATAAGGTTTTTCCCTTAATTAAATCTGCAGTCTGTAATTAGCTGATACTCTGGCCGTTTCACATTTCAAAATAAAGCACATTATTATCATCTCTTTTCCTCTCTCCCCTGTCAGATCGTTTTGAAAAGTGGAATAAATCTAAAGGTCCGTAATGTATAAAGTGAGACGTCCATGTGTAGTGTGATTATAGATCAGGTCTAGCTTCTATATTAATACTGTGAAAGTATCAAAGCCTCAGTCCACAGAGAAATGCACACAGCCTGTATTCAGAAACTGAGCCTTAAAACCAGCCGTCACGACTTCTGCAACTTTGTGATGTCACAACAAAGCAGTCACCAAGCCCCGCCCACCTGGACCCACCATCCAAACCTTTGCAGGATTTGGTTTCTCTGAGTGTTTTTACCTGAAATCTGCTATATTTTTATTGGATCACTCAGAAAACAGTCAGCCAATCAGAAGAGAGGCTCAGAGCCTCCTCTCTTCTGATTGGCTCACCAACCTGTTGTTACTAGAGCTCCAGAGAGAAGCCTGAGAGAGGAGATGTAAAACTACACTGAGATGGTTTTTGGTTCTTTAAACCATAAATATATCTTCTTATGGATCGACACTTCAAAATAAAACACAGGAGAAGAAGAAAATATGGAGCTTTAACAAATCAACAAGCTCTCAGAAAAGTAGAATCAATAAATCTCTCTTTTCCCCCCCTCAGGTCTGCGGGCGTTGGTGAGCATCTTACAGAGCTGGTACACTCTCTTCACACCGACCGAGGCCACCAGCATTGTGGCGGCCACCGTCATGTCCCACAACACCATCCTGCGTCTCAGCCTCGACTACCCCCAGCGCGAGGAGCTGGCCAGCTGTGCGAGAACCCTGGCCCTGCAGTGCGCCATGAAGGACCCCCAGAACTGCGCTCTGTCGGCGCTGACGCTCTGCGAAAAGGACCACATCGCGTTCGAGACGGCCTACCAGATCGTGATCGACGCAGCGTCCACAGGAATGACGTACTCCCAGCTGTTTACCATTGCGAGGTACATGGAGCACAGAGGATACCCTCTGCGGTCGTTCAAATTGGCCTCCCTCGCCATGACCCATCTAAACCTGGCTTACAACCAGGACACACACCCGGCTATTAATGACGTGCTCTGGGCCTGCGCACTCAGCCACTCTTTGGGTAAAAATGAGCTTGCAGCCATTATTCCCCTGGTGGTGAAGAGCGTGCACTGCGCCACGGTGCTGTCTGACATCTTGAGGCGGTGCACCATGACGGCGCCGGGTCTCGCCGGCATCCCCGGGAGAAGGAACTCTGGGAAGCTGATGTCAACGGACAAGGCGCCGTTGCGGCAGCTCCTGGACGCCACGATCTCGGCGTACATCAACACCACGCACTCTCGACTGACGCACATCAGTCCGCGGCACTACGGAGAGTTCATAGAGTTCCTGAGCAAAGCAAGGGTGACTTTCCTGCTGGCACAGGACGGCCACATTCAGTTCGCCCAGTTCATAGACAACCTGAAACAGATCTACAAGGGCAAGAAGAAACTGATGATGTTGGTCAGGGAGCGCTTCGGCTGACCTTACCCCTCCCTCACAGGGACGCTCTCCCTGGGAAGTAGTTAAACTTATTTGTTTCTATTTAAGGCTTTTTAGATTCTTTGTATTTTTACTTATTTTGAGCCATTTGTTGACTAAGTCATAAGTTTTTGTCCCTGTTTTGTTGTTTTGTTTCTTGAATGTGAACCAGGAAGTGTTTGCAGTACATTGCTCTACTTCATTGAGACTGCAAAAGGAGGGGGAGGGGGCAGCGGCTTGAAATGTCAAAGAAACACCAACAAAAACAAAGCATTTTTCTCCTCCAGCTAATGTTGAATCTAATATGAAAAAGTCAAAAAGATTGTGATGACAAAAAAAAAAGCAAAAGCAACTTTTGTTTTTCAGTGGCACATGACGATATAAAAACCAAATGATGTTGGATGGGGTACTTACTTTGAGCCAGAAGACGCTTTCAGCTGGGGGTAAAAGAAGAAGTGTTTTTCAAAGTGGAAGAAACATGTCATTCCAAAAAAGAAAAAAAAAACCCACTGATGTGGAAAACACACATAGTGTTGCTGTCATACCTCGACTGTATTATTTGTCAGCTTTAACTTCTCTATCAGAAATGGCCTCTTGTTTCATTCAGGGCATCTTAGAGTAGAGAGGGCAGAATACAGAACTACGCATGTGTGGTCTCTCTGTAGAAGAAGTCGGCGCCAACAGGTTTGAAAAACTTGACTAAAGGCACTCTAGACTAGCTCCTGTCCTCTACACCTGCTGGTCAGTGCTTTTCATTAAGAGATATCTTCAGAGGAAGAACCGTGTTGCTTCACAGAGTGCATGTTCTCAAATCCAGCAGCCTGACAGTGACATTATTCAGGCTGTTCTAGCTAAGGTAGAGTAGTAGAGGCTCCACATGCACACACACATATATATAAATATATATATACAGTATATCTCTTACGTCCTCCTATAAGCTTATTAACAGTGACAAAATACAACTGTGATGAACAGTGGGGGTCACATTATGCCCATCTCTAGAGATACGACTGCACTGCTGTACAGCTATTTGTGGCCAAAACCTTTTAAATCTATACGACTCCAGCGGTCACTTTTCACATGCTAGATCAAGACGCTAGTCAACGAGCAATATAAGTCAAGTCTGCTTCAATATTTGATCGTCCAGCGGCATTAATTTCACCGTCTTGTATTCGGTTAGGAAGCGGAACATATTTGGACCTGGTTGATTTCAGTGACTGTTAGTGGTCAACTCTGCCTGTAGCTAAAGGCCCTTTTCCATTTCAAAAGGTTTTGTGAGAACTCAGGAACTCGTGGTTTCCCAGAACCTTTGCGTGAACCCCATTTTAAGAGCAGAAATCTGGTTTATAATGTTGGTTCCGAGTTGACAGTACTTTCCATCATAGTCCAACAAGCACTGTTTATATAGAACAGCCAACAATTACAGTAGCAGCAAGAGGAAATAAGTGATAAATAACCTTGGACTGATTAGCTTAACTTGGAGAATTGGCTATGTCAAAAAGCTTTCAAAAAACTTTTTTTCCATTAATTTATTATACAGCTAAGCTTAAACCACTGATAAATCTGTGCTAATTAATATTTTTATGTAAGAAAAGGTTACTCAGTGATAGATGCACAGAGAATTAGCATCATTTAGCATCATTTAGCTAACAGTTTATGGTTTCTGCCAGATAATGTACTGTTTGGTTCAGTCTTACTGCTCATAACAACCTCACTTCCAGCGACAGCAGGCATCTAGCAGTACACCACCTGCCCTGCACCAAACGGCAGGAAGTCATAGTTATTAGCAGCTAGCTAATGAGTATAGTGGAGGTTTTAGCTACCTCGAGTGGTGGTAAACAGAGCTGAAAAGAGAGTTAACATTGGCCTTATGTTTGTTAGGTGGCCAGCAAAAACAGTCAAATGAATGCTCGATGCTGCTAGACATGCTAGCAACTGTTTGCTAACATTAGCCACCACATTAGCTAACAATGTTAGCTAAACCAACTTTGTAAAAAATCAATTAAGAGTGGTTTTAAAAGTGGTGTTTTGGATATACTAAAACAAAAAAGGTAATTGGTTAACAGTTAAAAAAAAGAAAAAAGGTAAATATTTAAAACATTTAAACAAAAACACAGAAACTGTAGTAATTGCACTTCTTCCATCATGGCTGACATGAAACATACTAAAGAAGCTTTTTGTGGTTTCAAGCCTCTGTTGTTCCTCCAGTTCTTACGTCTTGGTGGAAAAGGGTCTGTAGTTACTAAAGCTACGTACCTGTGAATGCTACTGGTTGTGATCATTTCTGGACTGTGAAGACGAGTGGCCGTGTCAGAAATACAGTGCACATACAAAACATACTGTATATTTTATGACTTAACGACGTAATCGTACATATGTGAGACAACACGCCTCAGCACAGGAAGTTGTTTTTCTTTATGGTGGGGCGAAGGCGGGGGGTTATATGCACCTCCCCCTTTTCTTACGCAGTGGCAAAGTGCTGTTAATGGCAGTAAACAGTACAGCAAGAGCTTGAATCTTTTACTGGTCAGACTGGTCATCGTACAAGCACTTCACACAAATACCTCTTCAGTACGTTCCTGCCTGCTTCAGCATTTATTTATTGATTGTTTAGTAACTTTGTGTGACTGAGTAGGAACCGCAGACACACAAACAGAACAGGATTTAAATAGATTTAAAAAAAAAAAACACACACACACACACACACACACACACACACACACACACACACACACACAATGGATGAGTCAGCTTGTCGATGGCAGGAGAATAAAAGAATAAGGTTTTTGAATGGAGGAACATTTTCTAGTCTGCTTTTACATTCCATGAGAGCTACCTTCACCCACTACCCGGGTAGTCAGTCACAGCTCTGGGCCTTTTTTTGATCTGAAGAAACGCAGATAGAAGAGTAGGGGGGGGGGAGGAAAATTGAGCAAAAAGAAAGAAAAGAGAGGCTAAACTCAGTTCTCAGGGACATCACTTAAAGAAACAAAACAAAAAGTAGTAGCATTAAGCATTTAAGATATTGTAAATATTAAAGTGTCAATTCAGAAAATTGTAAAGTTATAATTATTTATGATAAGTATGTTATGTGTTTGTTTTGTTTTTTTCTTTATTTTTATGTTTTTTTGTTTTTTGGCGGGGGTGTACTTGAATTGTTTTGGACGGGGGAATTTGACAGCGTTTTTTGTAAGAGCAAAGACTTCAAGGCATTTCTCAGGTGCTCCTGTGTACATTTATTTCAGTTTGTTTTTTGCTATAATAACTATTATTATTTGTGTTTTTTTTTGTTTGTTTGTTTTTTTGTTCTTTTGTTCTTTTTAGATTTGCAAAGAAAAAAAAAAATCTGTTTTCCAAAAGGAGGCATGTTATTCGGAGTTGAGGAAAATGAGTGAGGCATTCATTTGTAAACAGATACGTACTAAACCTGACTATGCAGAACCACTTTGATGATCTTGTCACCTCTTAAAGATGCCCTCTAAAAACTTGGGAGGAAGAGACACAGTGGACCGAACCACTATTAAAGATAGAGAGCGGGGTTTGGGGGGAGGGGGGCACACAAAGACAAGACACAGCATGCTTGTATTTGGACAATGCGCAGTAGCCAGCCTGCATTCGCTGCAACATTTAGAGGAGAAAAAAAAAAAAAAGAAAAATGGTGGAAAATGCCTTTCTGACCGATCAATGTACAAAGTTTATTTTTGCTTTTCTTCTTTGTTGGTTTTATTTAATCAGGACTCAAGCCTTTAGTGTCTTCTCAGAGGTGTCGTGTCGTGTGGCAGCACCGCAGTGAGACAGAACAATACGCAAACGTCAGTCAGAAACAGCAACTGTATGAACAAAAGAGACGACCTGTGGATGACCTTGTGTTCATTCCTCATTTGTTGTATCTTGTTTTGTTTTTTTCCTTTATTGCTTTCTCTACTCCCTTCAGCCTTCTCCTATCTCTCTACCATACTTTCTTTTTTCTAATTCTCTGTCGTTTATCCCTCGTTCCCTCTCACGCCGAGAGGATTTTTTGGTGTCGCAGCAATGCATCGATGTGTCAGTGCTTTCACTGCAGCCACTTCCTCTGTCGTCGGGTATCAGTGCAGCAGCCGCGTGTCAGCTTTTGACACTAGCTGGTTTTCCTTTGTTGCTGCAAAGTTTTTACACAATGCGGATTTGAAAAAAAAAAGAAAATAAGGTTGAATTAATTTCTGTGCTACTACATCAGCATGATAGGGATGTTTTTGTTGAATCATATATGAAAGAGGGATATTATTTTACCAGTTGCTTAACTTGGAAGCTCCAGTCAGCTGCCTTTATGTGATGCATTAACTGACGGCATTACAACAAAGACGTTCCTCCATCTTAGCCGTTTTTCTCTGTGTTAACTGTATCAACCAGTTCCTTAGGTTTTTCTTTCTTTCTGTTTTTCTTTCTGTCTTTCTTTCTTTCTTTCTTTCTTTCGTAGGACAGTACTATTCGCAGGTAGAGATCTAGTTCACCTACTGTTTCCCAGGTTGTTTTGTTTTTGGATTTTTTTTTCTAACTTAAGGGAAAATTTGAAAGTGTTTGTTGCCTCTTTGTGCTACTGATTATGAAAAAGGTATTTCCAGTATTTGTTGCCACAGAAGTATGATAGCTTATCATCAACACTTTTTTTTTAATTTGTAATTTTTTTGTGCAACTTCTTGAGCTACTGTCTATAAAGCGAGAATTTATTACTATTTATGTAACGCTACTACCATTTTATATTGATTTGTGTTGGAATCTCAGTGCTTTTCTATGAATAAAGTGTGAAACACGTTTCAAGGACTTCTTTATATTTCCAAGATGCATTGCTTTACAGATGATTTTGTGTGATGCGAGACCTCCAAAGTGAAGTGAAGTTATTCTAACTACATTTTAGGGCTTTTATTTTTTTAAGTAATCACAATGAAATGAATACTTCATCATTCAGATTGATTTACAGTATATGCAACACACTAATCTAAAACTATGTCAAATATCATTAATTTCTTTATTTAAAACGGGTCTCATTCAGATGGGGATCTCTTTCAAGAAACAGACATTAAAAACATCCTGAACAAAATTATTGGTTCACACATGCACACAGACACAGACCATAGACTGTACAATAAAATGGACGTCGACTCCGGGTCTGGAAAATGAAGCCAGAACTCGCTTTCTATCGAATGACTATCGGGGGCGACTCCACTAGTTGAAAAAAGAAGTCAGATTGTATTGAAGTCTAAGGGGAAATGACCCTATTGTCACTTGATTTGTTACCTCAGTAAACGTTCTCGACATGTGTTTATGGTCTGAATCGCTAGTTTGAAGTTTTCTTCAATACAACATGATGTTCGTTTTTAAAATTATGATCCTATTTAAAAGAAAATAGACGTTAAAGCAGAGTGAGTTTAGGGCGTGGCTACCGTGTGATTAACACACAGGGGGACCTGCCTGTTAATCCGGATATGAGGTCAGAGTGACGTGTCTGACATGTGACTGGTCATTGTGTTTTCAGTTCATCAAAGTTAGCTCCAACATGTTGTTTGTCTGAGAATGTCTTGTTCTGTGTTCAGTTGTTCTGAAAGACACTCAGAGGAGTCGGCGGTTAAATTTTTTTGCCGTAAATGCATTTTGTTTTAAGCCTATTTTTTGCTAGACAAAATTAGCTTCCCTGTTAATATCACAGTTCAGGTGAAGATGCACCTTGCTAACCAAGCTAGTGCTAATGCTAGCGTTAGCTGATAACTTTGCCTTACAGTTAGCAGTACCGTCCCGCTGGGCTGATAACCTTTGTCAACCTGGGTTAGCACGTGGAGGTGTTCAGTCAAAACCCAATAAAAAGGTGAATTTAATCGACGTTAATCTAACGACGTTTGGTTTGTGTTTCTCCACATGTGACCCAGTTTAAGTGATCTGCGTTAGTGTAATGCGCAGCGTTAATGTTGGTTAATACATTGTCCATCAAGACGTCGTGATAGTTCAAGTTAAGATAACGTGACGTATAAAAAATGTGTAGACAAATATTTGTCATATAGAAGATTGTTGATTTAATACTCAAACCAGTCCTCAACTGAAGCAGACATTCACGCACCTATCCTGACAGCTGATCGATATTTGTGATTAACTGTGATCCACCGCATCTTAACTCAAGTGTTTGTGTTTTATTGTCATTTGAAAGGTTTCCACACTGTGAAAACTGAGTGATCTGTGCCAACAGAAGGAGGACCTCATGTACAGAGCAGCCCATTTGTTTCCATTCATCTGGTTGTGGAGAAGGGAGACTGCATGGACATCCTTAGTTCTCTAATGTGCTGTGATGATGATGATGGTAGAAAACCTCTCCCAGTTCATCTTCCTCTGATGAAATGACAGACTAACTGCTGATGAGTTAGTTTATTATTCTCTGTCTTCAGTATTCACAGGTTCAGTTTCTTACCTGCAACTTCATTTCTGCTGTTGTTGACAGGTGATGGTAGCAACACTTTTAAGATCAGAATTTATAAATATTAAACTGTGATTAAGTGATGGATCATCTCTAGCACTGTCACCACCTCCACAGGTGAAAGTATTTACCAATTAACATCAGCATGTTTTTTGATCCTTCATTGTCAGTGTTGTCGGACAACATTTAAATATTTCTAGTATTTATGTTGTTGATTAAAGCTAACATAGAAATAGTCCCACAGTGCTGTACGTGTTACTATTGTGAAAATTCATACCAGATGTGTTCTATAAAAACCATCAACAAAGTTAAAGCAAGAGCTTCATAAATAACTTTATTGGACATTATAAACTACATTAATTTAAACAATTTACAACACTGGAAACATATACATGGATTAATCAAATACTGTCGTGTACAATTTGCAATCAACTAACTATTAAAAATCAAAAAATAGTTGTGGATGAAGTTAAAGCTGAATTTCTCTGTCATATCTAAGTTTGTTTAATAAAAAGAAGTAGTTGAATCAACAGTGCAACAGAATTTTTAGTAACAAGTATAATCATTATTCATCATGAGTCCTAATGTGTGAGACAGTTCGTATTTATTTGCTCCAGTTACAGTCTCCCTCTAAATAAGTGATGCTGTACACTGATATTAACTATAATGGCTGAGGACTATGAAATATGAACTCTAATGTTTTAAACTATTGACAGTTTGTTACAGCTACAGTGGAGTCCAAAAGTCATGTGATTGTATGTCTGACGTGGGGCAGAGAGTGTAATACGACAGTGAGGGTGTAGGGAACCAGGAAGAGCATAGCTGATCAGACTGAACAATGTTATGGCCACAAGTGTTACATTAAAAACTACTATATTATCATATAAGACAGTGTGTTTATGTTTGGGAAGAGAAGATCTTCATGTGTGGACACTGCAGATGGAGGTGGTGCAGGGCCTCCATCATCGCTGCAAGAGGTTGTAGGTGTCCCCAAAGATCCAGACCTTGGCTGGA